AGCACATGCCATTTTTACAGCATTAAAATATATCAGTCATCGGTCTAAACATAAACAATTCATTATTTTTTCTGATTCACTTTCGTGCCTTCAGGCGATTAACAATATGTCTTCGAAACATCCACTTTTAATCCAAATTCCTGAGTTATTTAATGATCTTGCTACTGGCCAATATGACATCGTCTTTTGTTGGTTACCAAGCCATGTTGGTATCACTGGTAACACAATGGCCGATGCTGCTGCTAAAGCAGCACTCACCAAATCTGTGACACCACTTCTCATACCCTACACTGCTTATAAACCTGCAATTAGATCTTACATTCGTGATCTGATGCAAAAGAAGTGGGACACCCAAGTAGGTATCAATAAATTACATCAAATTAAACCAAATATCGGTTACACCTACTTGGGTTGTCAGTCCAGATTTGAAGAGGTCATTATGCGACGATGTCGTATTGGCCACATCAGATATACAAATGAATACTTATTGAAAGGTGAGGATCCTCCGTTTTGTGTCCCTTGTGATGAAAGAATCACGGTCAAGCATGTCCTGCTTGATTGCATTGATTTTTCCATCACAAGGGATAAATATTTCAGTGTTAAAACAATTAAGGACCTTTTTAATGATGTTAATTCTCGTTTAATCTTATGTTTTTTAAAAGAAATCGAACTTCTTCATAAATTTTGATGTGTTTAATGTATTATTTTACATATTGGCAGTGCTTATTTATAACTGAGATTGTTGGTGGCTGTACCCTCTCGGGGGGTTAAAGTAGTGTAAAATTATTGTCCCCCTAAGGGGGTATGTAAGTCCCACATCATTCAAAGTATTGTTATGCGTGCAAAAATTTTAAAACGTAGGATTTTTGTCATTTTATTATAAGACTTAACTGGTATACCATCGCAAGTGACTGAAGGGTTGATATAAATCCTGCCAGGGCCCATGCAGGAAGCAAATGTACTGTAAGTCCCCGGTATGGTGATCTCCCTTCAGTTACTGACGATCTCTAGCCCATTTTTATATTGGGTTGTTCCTTTGTACTTAATGCTTTTAAATGTTCCACAACCAGTTTTAAATCTTATCTGTGATATTCTAGTTATCATACTGTCCTTCGATGACAGATTTTTTAAAGTTTAAATATATGTATATTTCATGTATAACTTCTCGTCATGATCATGATATGGCTGAAATATTGCCGATGTGACGTAAAGCATTAACTCACTCACACACCGCATTATGCGACGATGTCGTATTGGCCATAGCAGATATAAAAATGAATACTTATTGAAAGGTGAGGATCCTCCGTTTTGTGTCCCTTGTGATGAAAGAATCATGGTTAAGCATGTCCTGCTTGACTGCATTGATTTTTCCATCACAAGGGATAAATATTTCAGTGTAAAAACAATTAAGGACCTTTTTAATGATGTTAATTCTCGTTTGATATTATGTTTTTTAAAAGAAATCGAACTTGTTCATAAATTTTTATGTGTTTAATTTATTATTTTACATATTGGTAGTGCTAATTAATAACTTAGATTGTTAGTGGCTATACCCTCGAGGGGGGTTGAAGTAGCGTAACATTATTGTCTCCCTAAGAGGGTATGTAAGTCCCATATCATTCGAAGTTGTTTCTGCACACTAGGCTTTTAAACGTAGTATCTTCGTTATTTTAATCTAAGGCCTAACTGGTACACTGTCGCCAGTGACTGAAGGGATGATATAAATCCTGCTGGGGTCCATGCAGGAAGCAAAGGCACTCTCTTGATGTTCAAGTTATTGTACTGTCCATCCTTCACAGCTTTTTATATCGTTTAAATATATGTATTATTAATGTACTTCTCGTCACGATATGGCTGAAATACTGCTGATGTGACGTTAAATCTTAACTCACTTACTCACTCACATGAATATATTTTAAAAGGTGAGGATCCTCCGTTCTGCATCCCTTGTGATGAAAGAATCACAGTCAAGCATGTCCTGCTTTACTGTATTGATTTTTCCATCACAAGAGATACAAATTTCAAAGTTTCATCCATCAAGGATCTTTTTTATCAGATAAGTTCTCATTTTATACTTGTTTTTTTAAAGGAAATTTAATTGATTGATCAATTTCGACGACTATGTTTTGTAAATCAATACACTTTTACTTTTGATAGAATGAATCAATAACTGAGATTGTTAGTGGCTATATCCTCGAAGGGGGTTAAGGTAGTGTAAAATAATTGCCCCCCTGAGAGGATATGTAAGACCACTTCATTTAAAGTACTTAATCTATCACTGTTTTAAACGCAGAATATTTGTATATTTTAATTTACGGCTTATCTCGGCAACAATCGAGAAAGACTAGAGGGATGGTGTAAATCCTGCTGGGGTACCATGTAGGTAGCAGAAGTACGGTAAGTCCCCATGGTCCCTAGTATGGTGTCCTAACTTTGGTTGCTGGTGATCTCTAGCCCAATTTTATAATGTATTGTTCAGAGTAGTCACATTTTTATGGTAACATTCTAGTTTTAAATCTATATCTGTGACAGACTAGTACTTTTACTGTCCTTTGTCGACAGATTTTAATATCTATATGAATGTATTATTACTGTATAACTTGATTTAGTCACTATATGGCTGAAATATTGCCGATGTCACTTTAAATCTTAAATCACTCACTATACTGTCCTTCGTTGACATTTTTTATATATATATAATATGAATGCATAACTTGTTCAAGTCACGATATGGCTTAAATATTGTCAATGTGACTTTAAAAATTAACTCACTCACTCTAAATTCCAAAAATACCAAAAGCAGTAGGAAAAGAAATCTCTTAATTTAAATCTGATAATGGGGAAGATTATAATGAAATATTTTCAATTCATGAGCTTCATACTGCCCTTGGGCAAGCTCATGATACTGCTACAGGAGCTGATAACATACACTATCAACTCTTAAATCTGGGGGCACTCGTGAAAAGCAACCTCCTCCCGGTGAGTGCTGGGTCGCGCTAATAGCTCTTCCCCCGTGTGGAACCGGGGTAGAATATTTCCACAGCACCCCATTGCTGGTCGTAAGAAGCGACCAAAGTGGGCAGCCCGTTTGCCGTGGGTTGCGTCCCTGTGTCGGCGGAGGACGGGAGTCTGGTGGTTGAGGGGACTGGAGCCAGGAACAGTGTTCCTTTGCCCAACACACCACTTCGACCCTTACTTCGCCTAGACGGGTGGTAAGGTGGGCCCGGTCTTATCAATCGGCTGGTCATGCCAGGCCCTGTGCGTAATATTGTATATGCACGCCTGTGTTGTATTTAATGTATATTTTGATCTTGGCCATGCATAACTTGTATGAACTAACAATTTTGGATGGAATAAATTGCCTAGAGTCTTACGCCAGAAGGCGGTGGTTCATGGGCCAATCTGGTGATGTTGACCTCTGTATTCTGTATGTCTCCAGTTTCTTGTCATGGACTGAACCTGCCTGGCACTAAATCTGGTAGATAAATATAGCTATTCAAGTCATATTTGATGGAGTACAGCATCCCTGTATCCCTGGTGTTTGCATCCTGGATATCCGGTGCGATATAACACTGTCCTTGTTGACGCTCGATGGCGGGTGGGGAACAGGGGTGCTGAATCATATTCTTCATCATGGCTCAACAACAATCTGGTTCATCTCGCAATGAAAAAAAGAGACGATTAGAAGACATTAATATTTCGTCTGGAAGTATTTCTCAAAATATTGATACCTGGGCTAGATTCCTGGTAATTGAGGCTGCTGATAACCTCAAATTAAAATCAAATTTAATCCTTTTGCCATTTCTAAGGCTGTGTCCGGGATTTGTGATGAGGTCAAGAACGTCACCCGTCTCCGTAGTGGTTCGCTTCTGGTGGAGTGTGCACGGAGACAGCAATCTCTCAATCTGTTGTCTATATCTACATTTGCCAATATTGAGGTTGCTGTGTCTGTGCACAGAGGCACTCGTGAAGAGCAACCTCCTCGTGGTGAGTGCTGGGTAACGCTAATAGCTCTTCCCCCATGTGGACTCGGGGTAGAATTTGTCCACAGCACCCCATTGCTGGTCGTAAAAGGCGACCGAATTGGGCAACCTGTTTGCCGTGGGTTGCGTCCCTGTGTCGGTGGAGGACGGGATTCTGGTGGTTGAGGGGACTGGAGCCAGGAACAGTGTTCCTTTGCCCAACACACCACTTCGACCCTTACTTCACCTAGACGGGTGGTAGAATGGGCCCGATTCTATCAATCGGCTGGTCACGCCATGCCCTGAGCATGGAATACTTCCCCATTTCGACATATATTAAACTATGTTTGATCAGAATAATTTATAACCATCTTTATGTGAATTTCAATTTTGACTAGAGTCCTATGCCAGAAGGCGGTGGCTCATGGGCCAATCTGGCATTATAAACCTCTGAATTCTGTGTTTCTCCAGAAACGTGTCATGGGCGAACCAGCCTGGCATTTCTTCTTTCAGATTCCATAGCTATTCAAGTTTCTCTTTGCTGGAGTATAACATCCCTGTAGCCCTGGTGGTGCAGGCGGGCTTCCACTGCACCATCGTCCTTGTTGACACTCCATGGCGGGTAGGGACCAGAGATGTCGAAACCTTTACTTTTATCATGGCTCTTCCCCTTCTATCTGGTTCATCAAAGAATAAGCGTAGACATGTTGAGTCTTTATCATCCGATGAAGGCTCGTCTGAAATTGTTGACTCGTGGCCACGGTTCGTTGTGATTTCATCTTCTGATGACACTCCTTTGAAACTAAACCCATTTGCTATCTCCTTGGGCATTAAAGGTGTCTGTGGAGAGGTAAAAAACGTAACACGTCTCCGAAGCGGTTCACTGTTAGTGGAATGTGCACGGAGACAACAATCTAACAATCTGACAATCTCTTGAAATTAAAACAGTTTGTGAATACACCAGTTGTTGTCTCAGTGCACAAGACACTGAACTCCTGCAGAGGCATTGTCAGAGACAGGGCCCGCTGCCTTCATGACATGAGTGAGGAGGAAATTGCAGCTGAGTTGCAAACTCAAGGTGTTACTGCTGTGAAGCGATTCACCAAAAAGAAAGATGATGGTACTATTATGAAACTGAATACGTACCTTTTTACATTTGCTCTTTCTTCTATTCCAAAGAGTTTAAAGGCTGGATACTTCAACATCGGAGTGGAGGTATACGTACCAAATCCACTCCGATGCTTCAAATGTCAACAGTTTGGTCATGGGGCCAAGTTTTGCCGTAACAACACGGCGTGTTCCCGTTGTGGTGGAGCTCACGAGGGCTCTGAGTGCACCAATACCATCAAGTGTGCTAACTGCAACGGAGAACACTTGGCCTCATCCAAGTCCTGTCCTAGATATGAGCGTGAAACTAAAATTCAGAAAATAAAACACACAAACAACATATCTTACTTTGAAGCAAAAACGTTGGTTCCTGCTCCAAATATTTCAACTGTTAAGTACTCAGCTGCAGTTTCCTCCCCAGCACTTGTTGCCAAACCTACCATGTCATCGACATCCTGTCAAACTTCGATATCTTGGGTAGATGAACAGCGCATTCTGGATGACCATACCCAGTTTGCTCCTTCTCTGCCCAATATCTCCACGTCAGCCTCACAGACAGACATTATTTCACCAGAGCCTTCAGTAGAGTGAGTGAGTGAGTTATTATTTAACGTCACATGGGCAATATTTCAGCCATATCGTGACGAGAATTAATACATTAATAACAAATAAGTATACATAATTTATAAAAAACCTGTCAGCAAAGGACAGTACAATAACTAGAATATCACAAAGTGTATTAAAACTAGTTGAGGAACATATAAAAGCAGAAAGAATTAACAACACAATATAAAAATGGGCTAGAGATCGTCAGTAACTAAAGGGAGAACACCATACCAGGGACCATGGGGACTTACAGTGCCTTTGCTTCCTGCATGGACCCTGGCTGGATTTATATCAGTCCTTCAGTCACTGGCGATAGTTGACCAGTTAAGCCTTAGATTAAAATGACAAAAATACTACGTTTTAAAATTCTGGTATGCATAACAATACATTGAATGATGTGGGACTTACATACCCTCTTAGGGGGACAATAATTTTACGCTACTTCAACCCCCCTCAAGGGTACAGCCACTAACAATCTAAGTTATATATTAGCACTACCAATATATAAAAACATATTATGTACATCAAAATTTATGTATTAAATCAATTTCCTTTAAAAAGTGCAATACTAAATGAGAATTAACTTGACTAAAAAGGTCCTTGACTGTTTTGACACTATAATATTTATCCCTTGTGATGGAAAAATCAATACAATCAAGCAGGACATGCTTGACTGTGATTCTTTCATCACAAGGGATGCAAAACGGAGGATCCTCACCATTTAAAAGATACTCATGTGTATATCTTGAATGGCCAATACGACATCGTCGCATAATGACCTCTTCAAATCTGGACTGACAACCCAAGTAGGTGTAACCGATATTTGGTTTAATCTCATGTAATTTATTGATACCTACTTGGGCGTCCCACTTCTGTTGCATAAGATCTCGGATGTAAGATCGAATCATGGGTTTAAAATCAGTGTATGGGATCAGAAGTGGTGTCACAGATTTGTTGAGTGCTGCTTTTGCAGCAGCATCGGCCATTGTGTTACCAATGATACCAACATGGCTTGGTAACCAACAAAAGACGATGTCATATTGGCCAGTAGCAAGATCATTAAATAACTCAAGAATTTGGATTAAAAGTGGATGTTTTGAAGACATATTTTTAATTGCCTGAAGGCATGAAAGAGAATCTGAAAACAGTATGAATTGGTTATGTTTAGATTGATTACCGATATATTTAAGTGCTGTAAAAATGGCGTTTGCTTCTGCAGTGAATATTGAACTGTTATCAGGTAAACGTGAAGAGATTGTTCTGGATCCAATGACAGTGGCACTAGCAACTGCGCCACCATCCTTGGATCCATCTGTAAATATAGATTTATAAGTGTCATAATTGTTTCTTAGTTGATGGTATTCTTGTTGGTATATCAATTGGTTAGTATCGGATTTCTTAAGTTTGGTTAATGTCAGGTCTACCTCTGGCTTTACCATTTGCCAAGGAGGAGATGAGAAAAGTTGAGTCGGAGCTATATCTTGGAGTTTAATATTCGAAGCCGATATTGCAGATTTTATTCTAATTCCGAGTGGTGGATTGAGTGCTGATTTCTTATTGTAAAGATCTTCGTAAAGAGGATGGAATATACATTCAAAAGCTGGATTTGACGGATTAGAATATAATTTAGTGATGTATTGTAGAGATAATTTTAGTCGGCGTTGTTTAAGAGAAGGTTCATCTGCTTCTATATAGAGACTGTGAATGGGAGACGTTCTGAAGGCTCCAAGGCAAAGCCTCAGACCCTGATGATGTATCGTATCTAGTTTTTGTAAATTACTTTTGCAGGCTCCACCATAGACGATTGAGCCATAATCAAGTTTTGAACGGATCAGTGACCTGTATAAGTGTAAGAGGGTTGTTTGATCCCCTCCCCACTTTGAATTGGAAACAACTTTCAATAGATCGAGTGCCTTCAGGCATTTAGCTTTTAGGTATTTTATATGTGGAAGGAAAGTTAAGTGGTGATCAAAAATAAGTCCCAAGAACTTGGCCTCCTTAACAACTTTGATAGGAGTGTCATTCAGAAACAGTTCAGGGTCCTTATGTGGCTTATATTTTCTGCAGAAATGTATACAATTAGTTTTTGATTTGGAAAATTTAAACCCGTTTTCTAAACACCATTTGTGAATTTTATTAAGACATAATTGTAATTGCCTTTCTATTGTGCGCATATTTTTACCACGACAAGATAGATTAAAATCATCCACAAAAAGTGATCCATCAACTGAATCATTTAAAACTTTGGACAAACTGTTAATTTTTATACTGAATAAAGTGACAGACAAAATACTGCCTTGTGGGACACCCTGATCCTGATTATAATGATCAGACAGGGTTGTACCCACTCGGACTTGAAATTGCCTGTCTGTTAAAAACTGGGATATGAAATGAGGCAAACGGCCTCTTAATCCAAAATCATGAAGATCTTTTAAAATACCATGTTTCCATGTTGTATCGTAAGCTTTTTCTAAATCGAAAAAGATCGATACAGCATGTTGTCTATTTACAATGGAATTTTTTATGAACGATTCTAAACGCACTAAGTGATCGATAGTACTTCTGTTTTTACGGAAACCGCATTGTATATTGGAAAGAAGATTATTTGTTTCCAAGTACCACACTAATCGATTATTTACCATGCGTTCCATCGTTTTACAAACACAGCTAGTTAAAGAGATAGGTCGGTAATTTGATGGATCAGAATGATCCCGCCCAGGTTTGGGAATGGGGATAACAATGGCTTTATGCCATGAAGGTGGAAACATCCCAGATGTCCAAATATCATCGAATATATTTAACATAGTTTCAAGGCATGATTCGGGCAAGTGGTTCAGCAGCTGATAATGAATATTATCAGCGCCTGCTGCTGTATCATGAGCTTGCCCTAAGGCAGTATATAGCTCATGTAGTGAAAATACCTCATTGTAATCTTCACCATTATCAGATGTAAAATGTACTTTTTTCTTTTCCTGTTGAAGCTGATATTTTTGAAATTCAGGAGCGTAATTAGATGAAGAAGAATGATGAGATAAAGTTTCACCAATGCTATTGGCAATGGCAGATTTATCAGTTAACAAAGTATCGCCATCCTTCAGATGGTTAACTGTAGAATTTGATCCCTTGCCTTTGATCTTTTTAATCATGTTCCATACCTTGGAAATAGGGGTACGAGAGTTAATTTTGGAGACATAAGTCCGCCAGGATTGACGTTTATTTTGCTTAAATAGACGTCTTGCCTTGGCATTTGAAATTTTTACAATATTTAAATTATGGACAGTGGGATGTTTACGGAAGTACTTCTCCGCCTTCTTACGACATTTCCTAGCTTGTTTGCAAGTGTCATCAAACCACGGTTTACGAACACGTGGGTTGATCGAGGACTTAGGTATTGATTCATCAGCAATTTCATTCAGTAGATCTGAGAACAACTGAATCGGGTCAGTAACATTTTGAAAAGACGTAGGTAGTAATTTATCTTTGCATAAAGATTGAAATAAAAGCCAATCAGCCTTCACAAAGTTCCATCGAGGTGAAGGTGGATCATCAGCGGGATTAAGTGGTTTAAGCACCGTGGGGAAATGGTCACTCCCACATAGGTCATCATGGACGGACCATGAGAATTCATTCAACAAAACTGAATCCGTCAAAGACAGATCTAATGATGAATACGTACCAGTTGCAGGGTGTAAGTAGGTGTCCGAGTCATCGTTAAAGATGCAGAGGTCATTATCAGAAACAAAATCCTCAATGACTTTACCCTTTTGATTAATGATAGAACCTCCCCATAAAGGATTATGACCATTTAGATCACCCATGATGAGACAGGGCTTTGGGAGCTGGTCGTACAGTTTTTGTAGATCATTACGCTGAAGATTTGAAGATGGAGGAATGTATAAGGAGCAAAGTGTGAAGGCAATATGCAGTGTAAGTCTAACTGCAACTGCTTGCAAATTCGTGTCAAGCGGAACAGGACTGTGAACAACGCCCCGCCGCACCAACATAGAAGCACCCCCAGTAGCTTTATCTCCTGGAGGAGAAAAAGAATGATAGGAACTATACTGCCTTAATTCAAATGTATCTGTATTTTTTAAGTACGTCTCTTGTAAACAAATTGCTGATGGAAGAAAATCTGTTGTTAATAACTGTAGTTCATTAAAGTTGTGCCTAAGCCCTCTGCAATTCCATTGAATTAGACTAGAATGATTCATGGTGGTTCAATAGGAGATCGCTCACGTGAACGTGAAGAAGAGTCACCACTCATAGTAGATGGAGTAACATCCATCTCGAGAGGATCAAAGAAATTCTGAACATCAACAGATGTTTCAGTGACAGTAGGGATCTTAGTAATAATTTTCTTGTTTTGTTTCTTCTTTTGTTTTTGGGGCATTTCAGTCGATGGTTTGTTAGTTGCTGGTAATTCAGGAGTTGGTTTAGGTTGGGCCATAGTCTGAGTCACAACCTGAGATGCTGGAGAGATGCCATATGATTGAGTATCTGAATCATCTGTCTGACTCTCTGATGTTGTAACCACAGGCACAGGGTGTTCAGAGTGTGCCCATGTCAAGTCAGTTTGACATTCTATTGATCTTGTGGTAGAAGGTCGAGAGACAGCAGCAGCATAAGTGTGCACTGATGGAGGGGACCGGCTGGCAATGACTTTTTTTGCTTCCTGAAAAGAAATGTTGTTTTTACATTTGACTGTCAAAATATCTTTCTCATGTTGCCAAAGAGGACATGATTTTGAAGATGCAACATGTTTACCCTTACAATTCACACATTTGGGGTCAGCTGTACAATCTGAGGCGTCATGATTTGCACCACAACGGTGACAAACAATCGGCCGATCGCATGATTTGGAACCGTGTCCAAACTTCTGACACTTGTAACATCGGAGTGGATTGGGGACATACACCTCCACTCCGATGTTAAAATATCCTGCCTTTATAGATTGTGGTATGGTCGACAGTGAAAAGGTGAACAAA